TCTCTAAATGCACACCCTCCCTAAATGCACGTGTGTACCTGATTCTAAGAGCGTGCACTTAGAGAGGTTAGACTGTATATTTAATTTACAAGCGACATATAATGTACTAATTTCGAAAAGACCAATTAAAAAGTATTTTACCAATCGAAGCTACATAAAAATGCCAAAAATAACAAAAATAAACCGAATTTAATAGTAACAAAGAAATCTGTCTCTACCACAATTCTCTAACAGGTAATATTTTCTGAATAGATATGATAAAGAAGTTTAAGATCTTTAGTAAATAATACTTTAATGATATTAATTTATTGAAAAGTTTGATATTAAATAGTCTTTTAAAGTCGCCACAATGAATCTTTCAAGACTATACAATAATAATCAATGAAATTATATTGCTGTATTTGACAAGAATAATAATGAATTTCTAATAGAAATTCTCGGAAAAAAATGACCCCAAATAGGGTCAAGAGTTAAAGAACACTCGTAAACTTACCCTTGAAAATTGATGACTACCCTAAATAACTTAATTCAATACCCAGATTTTAGTGGAATAATACATATACATACGTGCGTACGTAGTAAAATAAGTGATCTACTATGTTTGTGATAATCGAGACAATAGGGACAAGGAGAACGACTTATGTAAAGTGGTCATGGTTTTCAAGAAAATTTTATTATCTAAGCTAACATGCTTGAGTTAAATTAGACATTATTAAAAACAATAACGATAGGTATATTGCATAGAATTATAATTTATTTTCTAATCTCAATCTAAATAATTAACGCTTCTTTATATATTTCTCTGCTTGTATCCATAAACTACTTGGATCTCTAGCACTTCGTTCATCATAATACAATTGATAATCTGCTTGTCTAAAAGAAAAATCCATAACTTCATCTGGATTATTAACACTATATACCTCAGCACAGGTAAAAGATAAATACAGATCATCAGGAAGTGTGAACCTAGAAGTGAAATTATCAAGATTTGGATAAACTCCTAAATAACTTGTAATAATGGTATCACTATCCATCATTGCTCCACCAGTAAAACTTGCAAAAGAAAATCTAGTATTTGGAAATCCTCCAACAGATACAGTGGGAACATTAATTTCTGCTAATCTCTGAACAATAAGTGCGCATGATGAACCACAATTACCATTTGTTAAAATAACAATATTTTCCTCAGTCCATGGAAATTTTATAGGTTCCGAAACATTTAGAATCAATGAATCATTCGCAACTGCTTTTGTTGTATACCTAACTTGGGTACCACCGCGTGTATATGTATTGTTCCCAATATATTCAGTAACATTGTTAAAAGATGTATTGGTCTTTGTTGAAATAAATGTTCGATAAGCAAAAAGATTTTTAATATCAGTTGCATTTGCAACTTCTTCCATAATAGCTGTAGTTACGTCTGTAACTTTTACATCTTCTGGAAAAATTTTTATGTCAGGAAATAAAAGTTTAAGGATAAAATCTGAAATGAACGCTGCTCCACCAGTATTATTACACAAATCAAAAACGATCTATTAAAAAAATTTGTAAATATAGCCATTCATAAATAAATGATAACTATATCATTCTTGTTATTTACCTTTTTTATACCTCTATCAACAAATAATTTAAATCCAACAGTCATATCATTCAGGAAACGAGTCACTTGATCATTAGTAAAACCTGTAATGCTTTCAGTTGAAATTAAGACCACACCAAAATCTTGTAATACATAAAATCTGGAGAAAATTGCATCAAAAATTAAAGATGCATTACCAACTGATGTCTCATTAATATATGGTGATTTATATTTTGAAACTAATGGAGAAAGAATTGCATTGCTAGTATTAGATGGAATTCTCCACTCTCTAGTAATGTTAGAAACTTTATCAGTACAATTAAGTGTGTAAGAAGTACTTGGTTCTGTAGGTAATTTAACTCTAAACGTAAATGATTGTCCAGATATTAGGAAATCTCTACTTCCAAAAGCAAGAGATGCAAGTGCATAATTAAATCGAACACTTAAATCCCTTGATTGATGTGATTGATTACGAGCAAATTCTGTAATCACGTCAATCGCAGGTTTACCATCTATATGAGTAACTTGACAGTCAATAGTGCTTGGATCTATTTCGTCATCAAAAACCTTGATTTGCTAAAAAATAATTATTCATAAGATATATTAGCACGCGTTAAATTAGTATTAACTTTAATTCTAGCCAGATTTCTTGTCAATATTCTTTTTGACGCGATTCTGATTCGAACCAAATTTAACTTAAATAAAACGAGAGTGAAATTTCTTTTATAAAGAATAATAAAATTATCTTAAATTGGATCTTATGCTAGCGATTATGCATGAATTTACCTGTGTGCCATCTGGTTTAATCACGGAATACATTGAAAATCCCTGAAAAAATTCATAAATCGAATAATTCCTAGAAAGGAGCCTATACGTAATTAGATATGAAATATATTTATTAATATTTATATATCACAAAGTTGTACATAACTATATAGCATTATAATTTTATGAATAAAGACTAGCTTACGAAGTGTGGCCATCCCTCAATTCACCTATGAGATCTCCAACAGAATACTAATTTTTTTCACATAACGATAATATGAATAATACATTTGAAATATATTTTTAAAATAATTCATATTATTTACCACAAATTGATATTCATATGAATAATTGTTTTTTAGTAATAAATCTAATTCATTAATTAAATTTATAGGTCTAAATGTAAACCCTGGTTTTGGATCTTCCTTTGCCTGATCTAAAAATGCATAAAATCCATTAAAATATTCTTTCAATGTTCCAATTGTCTAATATTATAAAATTTTATTAGTAACAATTCTACATAATTTGCTTTATTTAGTCAATTAAATATGTACCTGGGCTGCCTTAGTTTGATTAAATGGGATTGATTCAAAACATGCTTTCACGTCAGTGTAATTAAGATAAGCTGCCCCAGCATCAATATTGTCAGAAATCTTTTGACACTCTTTAGTAATCGTGTCACGTGGAACCAGATAAGAATAAACACTGAATGTAAATAAAACAAGCGTAAATGGTATAAGATGGATTAACTTCATTTTCACGAATTATTGATAGTTTATGAAATTGATCGTTTGAAATTTATTTAACCGAGGATGCTATGTTTTTTTTTTATTTTTTTTATAATTTTACGCGTAATACGTATTTTTAATGAAATTTATTATACATAAATTTAATAATTTCAATTGAAATATTAATGGCTCATCATGAAACTAGTTCCAATCGCGGCTTAAAGACAAATAGGTTTAGAAAACTCTTTTTTGCATTTTATTTTTATTCTTTACATATTTCTTTTTTCTCGTTATTTGAACGATCTTCAAGATCCTCATTTCCGGATTCCAGATTTTGTTGGATGATCTTCGTAATCTTGATAATTCTACATAATTCCGCCCGATATTTTTGAGGCTTGAAGTTTATTAGTTTTAGCCAGAGCAATAGCTTTAAGCCATGGCTTCAAATTAAGGCTTAGATTTGGCTTCATCAATTTCAAACGTGGCTGGAGTCAGCTTCAAGTGACCAATAAATTTATAATAAACATATATTCAAAAAAAAATACATAAGTGTTGATCCTAGAAATACGGTTTAATTTCGAGTTTTCTCTTGACATCACTCAAAACATAGAAGCCGTGGCTCGATTTGTGGTGCTACATTGTCGGGAGCAAGCACAACTTATGTACGTATGTGTTGGATCCGATATTTAACTGGCATTTAAATATCTAACGTTCATTATGCAATAGTATATCTAGCTAGATGTATAACCAGTCATAAATAAAAGATATCAAGCAATACTGAACCCATTAGAGGTTGTATCCGGCACAAAATTTGAGCTCTGGGTTACTCACCCGCCCATTTGCAAAATTATTACCCGTATTATAAACCAGGTTACCCAGTTAACCCGGTTAACCCGGTTTATCTGATGCAAAATCGGAAATCACTACACTTGTATATAGTTCTAAAGAACTGATAGCGATAGTAATTTTTTATTATAAAATATAAAGGAAAATCTGTATAAGAACAATTAAAAGAAGAAAGATCTAGATTTATAATCACATAAAAGAACTCATGAAAAATAATAAATTATATAATCTATGTTAGCCAATCATGCAAAAGTTTATATTGTTATGGGCGGGATAACTGCGACTCGGTCGCTCCACTATCCAAAAACTCGCGTAACCGACGGTAAGTAACCTTACG